TCCATTATCTCGAGGTTTCTTTTAAACAGAGGTTCCACTATTGGGAGGCTTATAATGCTTTAAAAATGTGTTTTCCATTAATTAGAGGTTCGTTGAACGGTTATTTAATGAAATCCAACAGATTGAAGGTACAAACCATGCATATATCGCCTTATCTGAAATATTGATCGAAACAGTACTATTTTTTAAAGTGTGATTCAGTCACAGCTGATTTACTTCGCTCACGAATCTCAAGTAATGCTCATGCATTCACAATACATAAACAAGAAGAATTAATTGAGTGGTCGGGAATAAAAATGACTAAAGTTGAACCACTTATGGATAACCGTAACACAATATTTTTGATTTTTAAAAGTGCAACATAAATTCTGTTCGCTTGTAAGTGAATTGTAAAATATCTGTGGACTATAGAAATCGTGTTTCACTTTAATTGAAGCAAAAATGTTCGATACACTTTCAAGTCCATTGGAATAATGATTCATTTTAATGGTGGTTTTGGTTGTGATTTGGCTTCGGAGTGAAAATTAAGTGATAAGGAGCGCGAATTTCGATGTGCCGATAACGCCATTGGATTGGGCACATGAAATACTGTTCCAGAATCGAAAAAAAAAATTAAACATTTTTTTCGATTTTTGCCTGTTTCCGACCGTCTACATGGGGAGTTTGTATGAAAACCTCGGAGCGCCGCTGGTATTGCATTGGCTTCTATGGCCAAATGTACACATGGAAATATCTCGAAAACGGCTGGGTAAATCGGCAAAACGGACCATGATGTCACCCGAAGGGAGTGTAAACACCCGGCTGGTTTGACGGCCTAGAATACAAATCCGGTGGAATTTCGGCTGATCCATGGATTCTCAGGATTCGACCTGATTCTAGCACTTCAATTTCTTTCCCACAGGCCTGGAAACCAATGGTAACTGGGCAATTACTTTGACATTTCGTTGATCGTCCCTATCGAGCTTCGCGTAAAATCGAAAGTTTCGATGCGTTAAAAACGCATGAAAAGAGCCGGTTTTACGCACATGCCTTTATGTAAGTGCAAACGCCGCATAAAATCGGATCTTTTCATGCGACGACTCGCTCAATAGTTACGCTGACCACTGCATTTTCTAGCAGCACAATCGCTGTTGCCAGTCAGTGACATGATTTGTTATATCCTTTTTCATTCAAATCACACTTAACAGAATCCAGATACCGTCTTCGAGGTCTATCTGATTGTACCATTCGCTTCAACATTCAAAATTAACTTTGGTAAACGAGACACGTTCTCAATCTAGACTTTTTTGCAGCCTCATCAAACGAATCAACATTCAAATCCTCTCGAATTCTCTCATTCCTAATTCTATTCTCCCCCTGGTCCCGCGCGATGCTCCAGAAATCATACGCAACACTTTCATATCAGATACCTCAAAACCATGGTGTAGCAATATCGGTACTGCCATTGCGTTCAATTGACTACACGATTCATATTTTGTACCGAACTGCTTTATGACTATATATGGTACCATTTCGCATGAATGGAATATGCGTCGAGCACCAAAAGTGCATTTATGTTTTTGTTGCAGACTTCAATATTTGTCTGCATCCCCAATAATTTTTATTATTTTCGTCTCGTTTCTACTTTTCTTGTTTTTTTCATCTCCTAATTGCGTTTGGAATTCCCCCACACAGTATAACATCAGCAAACATGCGTGCGCAGTTCAGCTACGTACCACGTTAAGCAATAAAACTGATGCATTTTCGTCATAAACTGACTTCCTTTTTTGGGTAATTCCCGACGTACCCGATATTATGGTGCCACTTTGTGCTCAAAATGTGCACTCAAAGCAATTAGCATATGCTAATCCCTTTTTCTTTCGTCTACCTTCCATACCATTCGGAACTTTAAGCCGAATTGATGGTTCACATTCCTAATACCTTGTAAAGTTTACACCTATATATTGTAAATGAGATATTGATCAGTGTCATAGCCATCCGTCGAGTTAGCGTGTTATTTTTCCCAGATTTTGTTCAATTTTGAATTAACTACTTTTTTGCATAGAATGCTCTGTTATGTTTCAAATCATGGTTTAATGATTAACTCAAGCCATTCTGCAATCAACATGGATCTGCCAAACCGACGTAAAACTTCTCGTCAATTTTTCTACTGTATAAATTGAGTGACGACTTTTGCAGTCCCAAAGTCTCAAATTAAACGCGTAACAGTTGACACTTCACATAGCCTTTTTCCCTTTGGAAACGTTTACCAAAGGTTATTTTGGACCGTTTGCTATCGGACTAATATCATGCATTTCCATCTTGGTTGTATGACTGTGTTTTTGTTTTATCTCCTTAGGAGATTCTCCTACTTGTGTAAATGCAAAGGGTTTACGAAAAGAGCCAGGTTTTTAACGAGGCGAGAACTGATAGTTATTGTTATTATTAATCATTGTAAGCCTAATACTAATTGATGTAACAGTCTTGCACTCTTTTCCGGCCACATTCTATTATAATATATTCAGCCAGAGCTTGGCGGTGTTAAATAAAATAAAAATAAAATAAATATGAAAGAAAATTCGAAATGTTGACTTTTAAAAATAAAATTGTTCGAAAATGAGTTCTAAGTTTTCGCAGACGCAGATTTTCAAATGCATATGCGCGTTAGAGGGGGCATCCCTAAGAACCCCCAAAACCAAATTTTTACGTTCCCCTTTTCACAGGGGTGAATAATGGTTTTTTCGGGGACTATAGCTTCCAAACGACTGTGAATTTTCAAAAAGTGTCTTCAGCAAAGTTGTAGATCTCACAAAGATTGAAAACTATGCCAACACTTCAATCCCAAAAAACCTCCCCCTTGCTATAGGGTAGGTCTAAAGGTGGCAAAAGGACAAAATTTTTTCGTCCGTCTGTCCTTTTATTTATTTGGGACAAACGGACATTTGTCCTAATGCCCCATTTCAAATTAGGACAAACGGACATTTTGTCCTGATGTCCCGTTTCAAATAAGGACAAACGGACATCTTGTCCCGATGTCCCATTGCCAAAAGGGACAAACGGACATTTTTCCTAATGTTCCATTTCAAATTAGGACAAATAGACAAATTTTCAAAATGATGTATAACACTTATGAAGTGATGTAAGTTATTTTTAAAATAACAAATTTTTAAAATTTGTCCATATGTCCTAATTTGAAATGGAACATTAGGACAAATGTCCGTTTGTCCCTTTTGGCAATGGGACATCGGGACAAGATGTCCGTTTGTCCTAATTTAAAATGGGACATTGGGACACGAAATGTTCGTCCTCTGTCCGTCCGTTTGCCACCTTTAGGTAGGTCTAAAATCGTAATATTTTGGGGTGTATTTTCGAGCTGAAAGGGTGATTTGGGCAAAAGAGGCATATTGCAGAGAGGTTCATTTTGACAGGATCTACAACTTTTCCGAAGACTCCAAGTGAAAATTCCATGCCGTTTAGAAGTTATAGGCCCGGGAAATTCGGAAAATGCCAAAACATGTGCGTTCCTGTTTCCTTACTGCGCTTTTTTTACGGTGAAGCCAACGACTGCTAGTGTCGAACGTAAATGCACGTAAATGCTGCATAATATTAAACGCATCCATTAATTTTTCATTGTTTTCTTATTGAGAATGGATGCGTTTAGTATTATTTGACTTGACACTAGCAGTCCATGGGTTAAGCAGACTGCTTTGTTGATGTGTATAACAATACGAGTAAAAATTGCACGTAAGTGTGAGCACGAATTTTCGGCGTTCGAGGGAATTGGAAATTCGGAGCTGACATCATACAACCGAAAATCGAAAAAAAGTTTCAATTTTTTTTTTCGATTCTGGTAAAGTATTTCATGTGCCCAATCCATTGGTGTTATCGCCACATCGAAATTCGCATTCCTTATCAATAAAATTATCATGCATTCCTAGAACCGAAACACCATTGAACAAGTATTTCCAAACGAAACATCGATGCATATTATTTTAAAGTGAAACACCAGCGCAAACGTTTTCCAAAGTGAATCATAGAAAACTAATTTTATTGAAATGTTAGACGCGGTATTTCACTTCGAAAAAATTCTCTGCCGATGTTACACTTAAAAAAAATCATTCGTTTTTGTTTATAGTTAGTTGGACAGCTGTGTAGTTGCACCCTAGGGGAATATCACGCAAACAATTCTATTGAATTTTTATTGATTTATTGCATTTTTAAAAATTATTTTCAATTATTTTAGATTACGCGAGATATCTGAGATTTGTCACTTTAAATAAACATTTGGTTAATAGACGTTTTTGGAGTGTTTTAGACGTTTTTGTCAATTTTGCAAGAAAACTCGTATTTAGACGATTTTGTTATTTCAAAACCCGATTTTCTTGAAAACCCGATTGTCACATTTTTAGATGATTTTGTCATTTTAAAAAAAATATTTTAGACGAATTTGTTAAAAAAAGGGACCATTTCCATTAGACGAAATTGTCATTTTTTTAGACGATTTTGTTTTATTTATAGTCGTTTTTGTATTTAACCATTTTGATATTGAAGATATCTTCACAAATCTGCAAAAATTCACATTTGTTTCCAAAATTCAGCATAATCTCAAATATCAGACCGCATCTCACATGGTGAATACGAGATAAATTTTATTGTATTTGAATGAAATAAATGAGATGGAAATAAGTTTTGTGAATAAAAATTACGTGATATTCCCCTAGGTTGCAACTGCTCTGTGAACCTACTCACCTCATTTGAGTTGATCAAGACATACTCATTTTTTTCTCTACTATACCTTTTCGATTTTCCATACATTTGGTAGGGATGTAATAAGAAGATTTATCAGGATTTTAAATTAATTAAATTTTTCACTGATTTCAAACACGTTTAGATTTATATCTCGGGAACCAACCAACCGATTTTAATGGATTGGGTACCAAAATTAATAGAAAAGTCTCACCTTTCTGAAAATGCATGTATCAATTCTAACAAAATTTAATGTTTCAGACCTATTTAGTTCATAGGCTTACTCAAAATTCGTCCAATACGATAACTTTATTATTAATACGTCTCCCTGACAAACTAATGATGCAGAAGTGTTTGTTTTGAGGTCCTCTACCATCGTGCATTCAAACCCCCAATGTGTGCAAGCATCACCCAAAAAATTGTTGTACTGTCATGACAGTTTCCATATGAAATTTCTGCTATAAAAACAAATTTTTAACTGTGAGGGCAGCAAGGAAAACAATGGATGGCGAAAATTTGGACAAATATTAACGTGTTATTCACACAAAAATGCGATTTAAAGCAGTTCTTATAAAAATGCTCATTAAATATAGTTAAAAACTGAGTTACATAAAAACTTTTTTTTCGGACTCGCAGAAATTAATCTAGGTTTTCAACGATTCTAATATCGTAATGAAGATTGTAAATTTTTGATTTGTTTTGTAGAATAATATTAATACTTTATGAAACTAAAATAAAAGACAAAATCATTGAATCTACGTTTCATGATATGAAATTTCCAATTTTCATATTTAGAATATAAAAGATATACACATTTATTACGATTCACGAATCGTCATCTAAACTGCTGTTGTTTAATTTTGATGCATTTGTAGTGCCAATGGTGGAAATTTCAGATTCATTACTGTTGGAATTTTCCGCAATTTGTGCCGATTGGCCGGATGTTGATGGTAGTGAACTGATTTGTTCTTGGGGTAACTCAATTTTATTTGGAGTTGAGACTAGAAGATTTAAAGATATTAACACTGGATAGACGAGTTCTGAGTCTAAATAAATTAGGCGAGTTTCTTCATTTCGATCTAACTGAATGGATTTGATGTTAGTCGTTTGCAAGTGTCTCACTTGTCGCTGTTCATTCAATGAAAATATGGTAACGCTGTGGATTTGATGTGAAAATTAAAATGAAATAAAAGTGTGAATAAATTATTCATATAGTATTAAACAAATATCTTTAATCTTTGAAATTACCGTAATAAAATATTTCGTTTGGATTGTAGACTTAATAATCGCTCATTATCGTTACGATGGTGACGCTTGATGCTTAATGTCCTTGTATCCGAAACAAGCACCAAGTCAACGCCAAAATTAAATCCAGTCCAACGCCACTTCTGGTATCCATCGTCATCTAGTACCCGTCCGCATCGTAAACATGTTTGATAAAATGTAGTTTCATCACAATCGACAGGCCTGTTTTTCAATAGTCCAAATTTACTATAGAATCCGAAAATGTGGACACTAAATTTCTTGAATTATTTTAATTACCCAGAATCAAGGCCATTGTCAATTTTAATGAGCGAATTCCATTGAACCATAAACGGTAAGTATAGCCAATCTTTCGGAATGATATTATCTTCGAGAATGAGTTTGATATCGACGGGATGATTAATTAGGTGTTGTAAACGGAGTTTGCGAAAAGGTTTGACAAATCTTTGTCCGGATCGTGTATGAAGGAATGGGGCTTTTGATTTCAAATTAGAAAAGTAGTTTGATGCCTGGCTGATGAGTTCACTAGCATTATTATTTGTACTGTTTGTTGATTCGACATTGTCATCAGTTTCATGGATTTCCAAATACATCCAAACCTTCAGCAGAGCATACAATGCGAATTCTGTCTGCATTACCTATCATAATCATTTTATTTTTAACATAATGAGTTGACATAAGATTTACTACATTCACAAGAACTTACCACCAAGTCTGGCGAATCCAGGAGTTCAGTCAACAAATCCGCATTAAGCATCATTAACCATTTCGTGTGTTTTGAATAGAAACTTAACAAATTAATCAGTAGCCATTGAAATGCATTTTTCTTCACGTCCATTGCTGCATACTGGTTGGCTGCTTCATAATATTTAATCGCCGTCTATTGAATAAAAAAAAATCATTTTTTACAAAATTCTCAAAGCTAGTGTAATTTTATTTTCAAATTTACCTCGGCGTTGATTGTGGAGTTCATGACCTCGCAACATTTTTCAATTAGACCATCGAGCTGAAGTAATTCCGCTGCTGCCAATACAGATATTACTTTCATTGGGTCCAGTGTTACTTCGTCCAAATATAATGAGCCAAATACAATATTCAAAGCTGTAATTACAATTAATTAATTAATGTAACTGAACAATTGGCGGATTGCCGTGTGATTTACATACAATCGAGCGTAATTTTCGGATCAACAATCTCAATAGCAATGAAGTTTTGCTCACGTTCACGCCATGATCCACTGAACATACTGGCAAAGTATGGGCTGAAAAATGTCTTAATTCAATTTCTAATCTTTTTTTTTTTTCACTTTGTTTGCAATTTACCTTTGACACAGATAGATTTTGTGAAGATTCCAAACTTTACTAGCACTGGATAAACGAGCCATTACAGATATATCAGAATTTTGTTCCTCAACGAAGAATGTTTTGTAAATATACTGTGGTGTAGTCATCAATTTCTTTCTGTTTTGCGGAATATAAGAAATAGTTGTGTTTTAGTAATAATATGGAACGAGTTATTTTAAAATGAAATTTTTGAACCTTTTTTTTAAACTTACTTGACTGGTGTGTTGAGGTGTCTATGAATGCTTGATTCCATTTCATCGCCAGATTCTGAGTCAATTTCTTCATGTTTTCGCTTTCTACCACTTATTATTTGAGTTACACTACCGTGTAACTGTGGCACATTTATTCTACTATAAATACTTCCCATAGTCAAGATGACTTCAGTTCCTCATATAGATTGATAGCACACAATATCTAGAAGTAGAGTCAAAGCAAAGCATAAATTTTGACGATTTGACAAGACTTTTCGTAGTTCTTTATTTTGAAAACGATTGTATCTCATTGGAACTTAAAAATAAATATTTTCACTTGTGAACCATGGAAGATGTCAGCCAATTATGTAAAAATACTTTCCTAAATATACATTGTGGCTTTGAAATGACCAACTAATATTTATTTTTATTTTTTAGTGTCATAATATTGAATCATCGAAAGTCATACTCGTCCTTTCAGATATTTAAATAAAAAAAGTGCACTCCGTTCTCAATTTCCCACATCTAAAATATTGTAATGATTTGTGCGTTCATTATAATTGACAAAATTCACAGTTTAGATGGCACATTAGAATTCAAATAAAAATATAATTGAATCGCAATCGTATTGTATGTTCTGTTTATCCACCTCAAAACAGAAAAATGACATCATTCATATCTAAAATGTAATCTGTTGCGTGGATTTACAACTACGAACGATTTGCTTTTTCACATATATCCAAAGGTGTGTTTATATTTAACATACTATCAACAAAGAAACGGTGTGTATCAACTGTCAAATCTGATGAAATTATTTAAATTTAATACAAAATAATTTTCGTTTAAATAAGTTTTTAGTATCAATTTTCAAAACGAATTTTTCAAACGAAGCAGTGAATAACAAGATTTATTCCGTTTGGTAATGTCTGCGACATACACTTACAATATAAAATTTATATTGGATGTTATTCAAATTTTCATTTTGTTTTCAAATATTTTGAATACAAAAATCAACTGTGACGCTTCCATTGATGGTATTGTTTTGGAATATGTTAAGGTCATTGTTGATTTTTTTTTGCATTTTCATGAGTCTCAAATTAAATAAAAATGCGTCTTAATGGCAATGTGTATCGTAAAAAAAAACTTGACCGATAATTCTATGTGACAAAGTCGAAAAAAAAAACTATTAGATGCCTATATTTTTGTTCTTAATTGTTGAAAGTCCGAATACGAACATTCATCATCAGAGGCGCATTTCGATGATCACTGCGGAGTCACTCTCCAGCTTCATGGGTCTATTTATGACCTTATGATGACACAATTATGTGATCATTCGTTTGCTCTATCATTCGCCTATGAATCACTTTCATCTGTTTCGTTGTATGTTCCAAGGTTCAATAGAAAAAAAACTTACATGAATAAATTATTTTTGTACACGCACAAAAAGACTATTTTTTTCAATTTTTCGACACAATTCGGGAATACAGCATTTTTGGAAGAATATTATTGAGATTCACAGACCTTACAAAGAAAATATATTATCGCAAAAATGCAAAAGGGCCTCGATTGGCGTTCTATAGCAACTTCTGTTTGCAAAAGGAGTCCTTTGCCACAAAAAATGGAAACGAATATTTATGATTCCAAAACAAAACGTTTGGCAAAAAAACAGCAGTCATATGAATTTTTTACACATGTGTACATTTGCGTAGTAAAACAACAAAGAAATACTAGGTGTAAAAAAAAACATATATTGTTGTCTGGAATATTATTTGTAATATACGATCAACGTTATTATGTTATTAGTTGATATTTTTATGTATAGTCGTCTGACATTTGCTGTCTTATGAACGTACTAGTGGACTGTGAAGCACGACAGAATGATTATTGCATCAAAACAACAGCAAGAAACAATAACAATTTTTTTGGACAAACGCTCAATACATACATATGGAAATGGAATCGCACGATGCGTAAAAACAGGGACACACTACCACCACATAGACGAGTAGTGGATATAGATGTAAACTATGCCATCGATTAATTTCAAGGTGTTAGAATTGTGTATTTAAATTGATTTCAATGTAAAAATTAAAAAAAATCGTAATAATTTTAACAATAATAATTAATACAGTTTATAGTTTCTTTGTCAGACAAAAACGAAATTTCTGAATCTCATGTCGTGCATACAAGATTACAATTGTAATGGAAAAAAAAACAAATGAACGCACCCTCATTACTATTTGACAGTCATCATTTTCAATGAATGCTATACTGTGAAATCACTACAACAGATATGTTTGTATAGAAAATATTTGACTTGAAGCAAAGTACACCACCTGAACTCTGTCGAATGTTACGGTTGCAAATATTTTCGGTGTGTGTGTGTATTGTACGAAAAAGTGATTGACTTTTGATTGACTTGAAATTCAGTGCACCATAAATTAGAATTGAAAAAGTTTATTATGATTTCAAACGGCGAATCGCGAATCTGAATAATAGACAATCAAATATCAAGTGTACATTCGATCAAAATTTTATATACATAACAAAAAGACCAAATAAACCTTAGAAGAATCGTTTTTAGCGTAATAAAAATTATCGAACGTTTATCGGACGCATTAATTCTATGTGTTTCGCGAGAACATTCGTGTTTGTTGTGAAAACAATAGGTTACTTTTAGTTGAAAGATGTTATATTGTGGCCGAAACTGAAATTTGTTACAAAATTGCAAAATAAAATTGATTCTCTCGGAAAATATTTTCGAAGTAAAATAACTGTGTTCGTTTTAAGAAAAATCTTCTAAAACCTAATAAATTTTTATCTCTAAAACAGTCATATTTTTCGATGTTATGGATATCAAAAAGAAATATAATGAATTGAGAGTGTGAAAGACAATTTTAGTATTTGAGAAACGATAACGTATATTCGGTCGAAGATACCACGGTAATTGGACAGTGAGTACTCTTTAAAAAAATGGGCCGGAAGGAAAAATCTATAAATGCAACTGTAGGATCACCAGCTTCAACTTCAATAATAAGTAAACGCACCTATAGTCGACAGCTCCCCTGTAGTACTTTAAATCATCAAACGGAAACAATTTCAATCACGACGAACCAATCAGAAAATGTGAAAATGGTAAGAATTGTATATTCATGGTTGCTGTCAATACTCATAACATGCACATTCAATGAAATAAAAACATCGTTGATTATGGGCCCAGGTGGTTGATGAAAAAAATACGAAAACTTCTTGTAAACTCAAAACAAATATCCGAATAGAGCTCATAAAATGTTTCGTATTTTTTCATCATACAATTGACAATACAGCTTATTCCAATAAATTATTATTTTCAGGATGAAACAGATTCAATGCACACAATCGTCTTGGGCTCAAACAATACGGATAACAATAGTCTGAGTTTGGATGCTCGATTACACATGCCATTATGTAAGGGCAGATCAAATTCGAAAAAACATATGAAGCAAACAGGAGAAATGCAAGCTGAAACACAACTGACGAATAGCTCAGTCTCAATGATTTCTCAACGGCCTCGTAGACAAGTGAAGCACAAATTTATCAAGAGTGCTAATGCCAATGTAACTGTCAGAAATGAAAACAGTGTGGCTAACAACGACGTAAGTGATGAATCGAATTCGTTGTTGAGCACCTTGTCGCCTAACAGCAAAATGCGTTTAGTGCCTATGGTATATCGTTTACCAATGAATGCTTCCAAACTTAATTGGCAGGATTTGGTTTCTAATAATTCTACGGAAACCACCGAAGTGGAGTGTGAAACGACAACAATTTTGGAAGACGAACCTGGAATTTCAATTGCTGACGAAAAGAAAACGGAACACCACAATGTATCGAACAAAAGCAAAGAAGCCATTCGAAGTGTTCGCGATTTGCGGCAAAATGTATGCCCCATTGAGCCTGTTGAATGTTATAACTTCAGCGAAATATTCGACAAGGACGCTGTAGAAACGCAAAATGAAGCAAATAACACCTTTTCCGGAAACAACCTAACAAGCAGTGAGTTCGTCAATTTGAAAAGTACTATCGAACACCACTAGTTTCCTTAAGAAAAACTTATCCCGGATTAATTGACTTTTGATATTATTATAAATTCCTTTTTAGCGTTTTACGATGACGAAGATGACATAATGATTGTTGAAGAAAAAGACGCTCTTGATATCCCCGACCAAATTGAATTTGTAGCCGAGGAGGTTGTAATTGAGGAAACCATTGGCGATGATTATACGGAAATAATATGTGTTTCACCAAAATACATGAACGAAATGTCAAGTTTGAATGGTAGAGAAAATGATTATAATAATGAATCGAGCTCCAAGAATGAATCGTATGAAAATAACAAAAGCGATCTACATCAAGTAGGATCAATGAGCACAGAGGAAGAGAACACTCAAACGGAACCAATTTATTTATCTGATTCATTGAGTTGTTTTGATTCCAATTCCGATTCAGAAACACAACATTCAGAAGTCCTTGAATTAGCTGAAAAATTTGATGCATCTAAAGGTATCGTATCAGTACTGACAGAAAAGGTAGGTGAAGACGATGAAGCACAACCTCTAAATGAATCAGCGGACGATGTAATTATCGTGCCTGACTGTACCGACACTATTGAAATTGATCGATCCGACACTGATGATGAAAGGTTTTCTGGCACAATTTCTTTTGAGACATGCATTGAAAGTGACTCACAGCCATCAGTTGATTCAGTTAAACATATGAACAATGAAAACAGATTTAAATCGAGGTTCAACAATTCACAACTGTATGAGACAACAACCGACGCCGATGATGATTCGAGTGAGGTTGAAAAGCTTTATGTACGATCGAGGAGAGATAATGTCGCACGCAAAAATTATTCATGCCGACGTAATTATGCAAGGCGAAAAGGTAAAAATGATTTGGAAACTCCGACCTCGGATGAAATGAGTACAAATAAAAAAGCAGATAATTTAAGCAATAAGACGCAAGCCACTGAAACAATTGAGTACTCTAATTCTGAAGAATGTTCAAGTGATAAAATGACATCACCGGCAATAATGCAAGATTGCAATACCACTGATGAAGAAAGTCCCTTTAATATGACGAAAGCAAAAGCCGTTCGAACCTATATTCGAAAAAAAGTATCAACTCCAAATTCTACATCGAAAATCGTGCCGTTAAAAGATAATGAATCACGAGAGCCGGATCTTCAAATGAAAAACTTGAAAAGCAGTTGCCATGAGGTTCAAGTAAGTTCCAAGCCTGAATCCATTCAAATACCGAGAAAACGAGGAAGACCCCGAAAGAAAGCTGTTCTAGTCATGAACCTGAAATCAAACGACAAATCTTCGGTAACAGATGGAAAAGCATCCAGTTCAACGTCGAGGAATCAGTCACCTATTGGTGTACCTGAAGTACAGAAAAATGAGCCAAATAAAAAATATGATAATGTTCAAGAATCACATACCCCCATCGAAAATACTGCCGAATTCAGTGAATTCATTGAAGATATTTCATCGATGAAGATCGAAGATGTCACTATCATAAATGAAGTTCCAGATGAAAAACATGGTGAGAAAATGGGAATCGAAATAGCCCAGTCAAGTAGCGTAAATGAGATAAATATAGTAAGCGAGAGTAATGTTATGGGACAAAAAGTTCTGAATGAAGAGCAAATCGCCAGCATAGAAGTTGAAAATTATGAACTAAATTCTACCAAGAGTAAGTACAATGCTAATGAGCTATATTTTATTTTCATTTTAGTTGTTTAATTTAACCAGAGCTGTCAATGAACATTAATAAATAACACGTGATCGGCCGTACGTTTCAACTGTTCGTCTAATGAATTTTTGTGTGGTCAAAATATTTGTTTTGGACTTAAATTTACACCAAATGATTGTATTGTCATCTTCAAAGGCTAAGAACATTTTTATTTCTACGAACAAACGAACAAACGGGGGCATTAAATTCCGAGGAACGAATGGTCGGACATTCATTGATAGCTCTGCATTTAACACATCATACTTGTAGTAGTTTGTGAAAAATGAACAGTTTGGATTTCTATATTACCCCAATTTTGATTGTGTAAAGGTATAAAAAGTGATAAGTTTCTTTTTATATTAATTTAGCTGAAACACAAGCAGAAGCCATGGATGTAGAGCGTGTCGAAAAAGATAAATCTATAAAAAAAGATCCAGCGGAATATGATGACCAAATGATGGCAGAGTCAACAAATATCAATAGCACTGCTGAGGATTCTTTAAGTGATCAGTTAGCTGAACATCCAAAAGTAAAAGAACAACATGCAGCTATAACTATGTACAGTTTTGAATCATTAGTTACGGATACTAAATATGAGACTACGGTCATCCTACAGCAAAAAAAAGTAGAGTCAAGCGAGCCAGCGATCGAAAATATATCAAGAAAAATTGAAACAATCGAAATCAATACAGAACCAAAAGAAAGTATTATCTGTGAATCTGGTGAGAATTTCAAGAAAATGCAATCAGTAGATACTAAGCCAGATGTAAATAAATTTGAAATTAAATCAGAAGAAGGAACTATGCAAATCAAACCTGATAAAGTCAAGCCCCAAATGGAGATGACAAGTGCCTTAGTCGATTTATCAGTAGAGGTAGCTACGGCGATTGAAGACACATCGATTCGACGATCGGGCAGAATTAGAACCATAAACAAAACGAAACAACGTTCACAGGGTATGGGTTTAGTAAGAGATAAAAAGCGCGCTCTAGTAATAATTGATGAGGATTCAAGTAACGCCAGTTTTGACGTATCAACTGAAAACACTTTGGATAAGGATGCATTACAGTCTGGAGGAGAACCCAAGGTGAATCCACGTATCAAAACCGATGAAGAATTGGAACGTGAGAGAATCAACCGTGAGAACGGCATGAAGTTATTCATTGCCATCGCTGACAATGAATATAGATCTGAACGAACAATAAGTAAAGAAGCCAAGAAAATGACTTGCGATTGCTTTCTTACCCAATCTGAAATCGAGCGCGGCGAAATGGGATGCGGCGATGATTGCTTAAACCGAATGTTATTGATTGAATGCGGACCGAAGTGCGTCGTTGGAGATCGTTGCACGAATCGTCGTTTCCAGAAGCATGCAAATTCCGCGTGTACCATTTTCAAAACCGAAAAGAAAGGCTATGGCCTTATCGCCACATCTTACATACCAGCTGGCGTTTTCATTATGGAATACGTTGGTGAAGTGTTGAATAGTAAACAGTTCGAGAAACGTGCCAGTGATTATTCAAAACTCATGAATGCTCACTATTACTTCATGGCATTGAGCAGCGATTGCGTTATCGATGCTACAAAAAAAGGAAATATCTCTAGATTCATCAATCATTCTTGCGATCCAAATGCCGAAACACAGAAATGGACAGTTAATGGGGAATTACGGATCGGGTTTTTCAGTAAGAAGCCGATCATGTCTGACGAGGAAATCACTTTTGATTATCAGTTTCAAAGATATGGGTAATTATCAATTTAATGTAAGAAATTTATAAGCAAAATAAAATTATCACAATTTTAAAAAATATACAGAAAAGAGGCGCAAAAGTGTTATTGTGAATCAATCAATTGTCGTGGATGGATCGGTGGTGAGCCGGATTCAGAAGAAGAAATCGAATCCGACGATGACGAAGAAAGTGAGGATGATGTCGCGGCCGTAACCAGAGATGAAAGTGAGTTTTCTGAATCGAAAATATCCGTTACTCTAGACGAAACGATCAAAAAGAAGGCTAAAACACCAAAACCAAGAAAATCCAAAGACGCAACAAAGAAACCAGTGAAAAGAGAACGCACCAAAGCCAGTCATAAAATTTCCAACGATTTCAAAAAACATATGAAAAGAGCCGAAATTATGGAGGACCCTGACCTTGACAAAGAAATTGACGTTTTAGCTATGAGTGGCCTAAAAAATCAAGTACAAACACTTCAGTTTAGCAGATTGATGGGTATTTTTTCTACTTTTGACCATTGATTTTTTTCTCTAACTATCTAACTGAAAAAATAATGTTTTTTTTTTCAAATTTCTTCAACAATAGTTCGTGCGAAATTACAAAAGGCAAAATTGCGTTTGTTGAAAATGTTGCGAGAGGGAGAATTGCCATGTCGTCGACTTTTCCTTGACTACCATGGTTTGTAATTGTTTTTAAATTAATTATTTTTCACTTCACACTTCACGAAATTCACCAATTTATGGTTTTGTGTTGTTTCAGGTTTGAAATTGATGCATTCGTGGATGTCGGACTTCAATAGCTCAGATCCACTACTGAGTCTCACATTCCGTTTGGATATAATTCAAACGCTTGAAAAACTACCAATCACTAACAAAACTATGCTGCAAGACAGCAAAGTGCTGTCAACTGTTCAGCGATGGTCAACCATTAGTGAATACTCCTTCCTCGTAGATGAAACACACACTCCAACCAGCAATCAAAAGGTTTCTATTGTGGCAAACGATGAGTCATCGCCTTCAGACAGTGGTTCTGGTACACCAATTTTGAATGATGAAACCTCTAGCCCAAAAATGGATGAAATGTCTGTATCTGCTACGATAAATTCGGCAGCCAGTCCGGATTCATTGTTAATCGATCAGAAGCCGTCCGAGATGATTTATGGTGAAAGAAATGTAACGGGTGTCAAGCCATCCGATGTGCTGAATGCAATACCTCAAATTCTCGAACAAAATTCCACTATTAAAGGCATGGGCGTTGATTTATTGAAGAGTATTATTAGTACAACTGAAAAAAATACAAAAATTATTGAAGATTCGGAAAAATTACCCGACGGAGATATGGGAAAAGTGGTACGCGATATTTGTCTGTTGGCTTCAAAGCTAGTTAGCTCTTGGAAGCAATTGCCAGAATCGTTCAAGATTCCGAAAAAATTGCGCATTGAACAAATGAAAGAGCATGAACGAGAAGCTGATGAGAGCTATAAAGAAAATGTTGAGGAAAAAACCTCACAGAAATCACACTCAACATTCAGTAGTACTGGTCGTTTCAGTGAACGAGTGGGTAAAATCACAGATATAATGGATTCACGTGAAAAAGATCCACGGTTTCGCCGTTCATTTAATAACAGCACCATCTCGAAGCATCAACGACGCCAAATGTTTGAAGCGAAAGTATGTATTTTTAGATATTCCCGCAATATCAATAAATTGAGTTATATTCACACGATGGGATAGCATTATACTAACAACTACATCATTTGCAAAATAAAATTCGTTCAAATCGTGATTACAGCCGTGAACGCGTTCATTTTGCAAACGCAGTTGTTCAATTCACGAAAAACCAAATATTTATTTTCTAATACGGGCTTAAAAAGGCAATTTTGTTGTCTTGCGTGCCATGGGCACATTTGTACAATTTTATTTAGCAGAACCGAAACATTTTTCTATTTCAAAAATCAAATATTATTGTTTCATCACACAATACGAGAATGTTTGACACTTTCTTGAATACACTCATCAATGCAGTTCCAATGCGTTGCCGTCATACAGATTTACAGGCAATAACATATTATTAACTATACTTAATAACATAATAATAACGGCCGATATATTGGTCCAACATAACATAATAATAACGTTATTAAGATTCAGCATAATAATAACATAATTTGTTATGCGTTATATCGGGTGTTATCTTAATAAATCCTAAGATTCGGCGGTAATAACATTTTATTAACTATAATAATAACATATTATTAAGATGGATTTATTAACTCAATTAATAACATATTATTAAGATACAATCTTAATAACGTTTTTTTCGCTTATTTTTTTCGCCGGAGCACTGACAAGTTGTTTTTTCTCTGCGGAGTACACACATGAATTTTTTGCACTGTTGCAATGAAATTAAAATGACTCTTTGAAACGGAATTATCATGTATTGAACTTAACCATTAAGTTAATGAAATCGCCAGTCCCGACCTTGAAAGGATCAATTTACCATATTTTGTCTGCATTGTTATGGGTGTGTACATCGTACAGTGCTTTTTTTCTCTCCAGTTAGGGAAAAGAATGCGCGAAAAAAGCGTTATTAAGATTGCATCTTAATAATATGTTATTAATTGAATTAATAAAATCCAAACCTAATAATATGTTATTAATTGAGTTAATAAATCCATCTTAATAATATGTTATTATTATAGTTAATGAAATGTTATTACCGCCGAATCTTAGGATTTATTAAGATAACACCCGATATAACGCATAACATATTATGTTATTATTATGCTGAATCTTAATAACGTTATTAAGATAAAAAAAATCCCAACATAACATAATAATAAATATGTCGGGCAATAACATATTGATAACATATCGAAAATGTAAATCTGTATGCCGTCAAAATGTGTGGCGTTGTTGGTTTGACGTTTAATAATCGACAATATCCTGGTGTATTTACATGTAACTATAATTAAATATTAGGTTGCCCAAGAGGATGCAGAACGAAAGAAAACCATGGAACACATAATTCACGAAGCAAGATGCGCATTTTTCCAGCTAGACCCTCGTATAACGAGGGATTTTATGGTACCCATGTGTGTTAATCCCACTACTGGTCAATGGTTTGGCAACAAAATGATCAAGATACCAACACCGCCAAGTCACGTAAGTCAACTAATAGTTTATACTCCAATAATTGAATTTGAGAATAGAGTTCCACTCACTTGGAACTGGAAAATGGAGAGTTAAATAATTCCAAAAATAAATAAAGTAGATAATTTAGTTTGTCTGGAAGAAGAGTACAAGAAAAAAAATTTGGTTTTGTTACCAAGACCAAGCCAAAAGTTTGAGACCACCTATAAAATCTATGGAAATAATCATGTTTTCTCGTCCTAATCTGAAAGCTAATTGAAATGTTGAGCGAATGAATGATTTTGAAGCCAACATTTTGGCTCGCTTATGGCCATTTAAAATGGCGGCCAAAATCGACTTTATATACGGGAAGAGGAGGTGATCTGGGGAGGCGGTAGTCTAAGACAGCCACCATTTTGTATCTTTTTCAGCAAAATTTATCAATATTTGTTGATATTTTATCTATATTTAGGGGAATTCATTTATTTCGAACGATTTTTGACTGTTTTTATCTACTTCCACTGGCTGTTTATTTTGAAAAGTGGGAAGCTAAGACATTATACTAAATGAAGGGAAAAGCTTCAGAAAAAATATGTTTCAAGACGAACGAGCCGCTTCCAATATCCGTTAAATGGGAAAAACTGAAAATTGCTCTCAATTTTCAAGTGGCTGTTTCTGTGGAGGCGGATGGTCGATTCCCAAGTTTGAATGGATTTTCTGGGCCTATGAGCCAGGGAATTTCTAGCGATACTTCATTCATACCAGATGGCCTCTTATTCAGATGAATATTCAAATCTTGGAAAATCATCATCTTATCATTTCTCAACGGCAATAGCTTGGCCAAACGCGGCTGATTTTGATGTTTTTCTATTACTATTACTATTACAGGCTATTACAGTAATAGGCTATTACATTTATCCTAGGGGGAAAGAACTATTGGTATATTTACTTCATTGACACATATTGACAAATATTCACAGGCATTTGCACTGCGTTACGTATTGTTATTGTTGTTGTTTTCTTCTGTTGCTTCGTCTCGTTCGTGGCGAGCAGGAATGACAGTTGCAAATACGCACATTTTATTGACCATATTTGCATGCATTCGCAGCTAGTTATTCAGCGCATTGACACGCATTGACGCGTATTGATCCAAACTCGGTAGAATATGCGATTATTTACAATATTTATATTTTCATTTACTCAGTTCTTTCCCCTAGCATTTATCCTATTACTTTTCCTATTACTTTTGTAAAGGGTTAACCTATTACTTCTACTATTACTATTACATGTAATAGTAATAGTAATGCCTATTACTTTCCTATTACTTTTTCAAAAAAAAAAAAATTCGGCCATTTTACACCGTCACACCACTGGAAATGGCCATTTTTCAGGGTTTTCGTCAAGGTAAACTGCTATTTTTTGGCAAATTAATCAGGGATAATGATATAGAATGATCTTTTGATTACAAGCTTACGAACAGGTGTGCTTACTCAATAATGACAGGTGTCAACTTTCTCTGTACCGCTGATAAGTGATAAGGCATCATGCACAGTGCACATTTCATGGGGGAAAAAATCGAAAGAACAAGAAAAAAAAACATCTTTTCTCCCATAGCTCAACTTCATTTCAAATTTTACTGATAACCATAAACCAAAACATTAAATGTTTAACATTTATGTCTGCCAAACAAGATTGTTTGATTTTAGATTGATCGAAAAAAGAAAGGCAAAATCCGGAATAGCGAAGAGTTATGGTTGAATTTTCATAATCAAATAAAACGAATTACATGCATAATCCAAACTTTTCCGCACCGCCGCAGTTTTACTTTCATGCCGCTTAGTGTTTGATCAAAAGATCATTCTATATCATTATCCCTGATTAATTAGCCAAAAAATAGCAGTTTAACCTGACGAAAACCCTGAAAAATGGCCTATTACAGTGGTGTGATGGTGTAAAATGACCGAAATTTTTTTTTTTCGAAAAAGTAATAGGAAAGTAATAGTGATAGGTGACCCTATTACAAAATTAATAGTAATAGTAGGGTATTGTCCCCGGTAGTGGGCCCGTTCCGGTTGTGGGCCCCCAGTCATATGTTTTGACAGATATGAAATATGGCGGATCTGAGTATGGTTTAGTGTGTACAATGACAGTACACAGTTTTTGTGCGAATACCGAAGTGAAAAGACGCATTTGCTTAATAGCTACGACCAAACAAAAAAAAATCGTGAAAAAATTTACGTATAAATAAAATAGTGATATTTTGAGAGTGTGAACAAGTGTTGTGAAATATCGCAAAAAAGTGAGTGTTATGCATATTTATGCAGTATTTTCATTATATTTTATGATTTTATATTGGGTTCGCTCAATATATTGTCACCACAAATTTTTGCAAGTCACCATCAAAATGACTGTCAATTCCGGTTGTGGGCCACCGCTTGTAACCGGTTGTGGGCCACCTATGATTTTGTATGGAAAACGTGTTTTCGACACACAGAGTGTAAAATATCATCGTTTTTGTTATTTATTTACGTTTTTTGTTCATTTTCACGCGTTTTTAGCCATGACTACTCCAAAAAAAAACATCCGGCAGTAAAAAAAAAACACCCGAACCAAAATCCGGAATCCGTTGCTATTTTGCACGTGAAAGAAGCGAAGCGAGCCGCTAAAACGCCGGTTAAGAAGGCCGCCAAACAGAAGGCAACACCACCAGCCAAACCGTCGGCCAAGCGTGCGAAACAGATGGGTTCGCCTCCTTCTGATGAAGATTTGGACTTTTGTATCATCTGTTTGGATCTTCTGCCACCTAAATTAACGGCTGCTAACTCTATCAAGTGCAACAGTGGTTGCGATCGGTTCGTGCATTTGAAGTGTGCTGGTATTCTCAGTGGTCGCTCCAGTTATTATACATGTAAAAATTGCGACACTGATTTAGATGAAGAAGATGATGAATAATTTGAACGAAATGCCATTTTCTGTTGCTATTTTGGCCAATGAAGCCTTTCAAAATGAATAAATTTTCTTATTTTCTGCATTTTTGGTGGTTTTTCTTCATATTTTCTGATTTTTATTGGATTTTCCGAGGGGGCCCACAACAGGGTACAAATTTTTTTTGGGTCAAAAATCGGACCTTCACAAATTTGGTCGTAAATTTTTTTTAGTTGATGGAATCGATATAGTTACTATAGCAAAAAGTTGTCTTTCTTCATTACCTTTCCATATGTATCAATTTTACCAAATTATATCTACTTGAACCCAAGTTATGGGCAAAAAACAAAACTAGGCCCACAACCGGGTACACTCCCCTAATAGTAATAGGTAATAGGCATTACAATTTTTTACTTCTATAACTTTTGAATCCAACGGCCCGTTAAAAAACTCAATTTCAGCCGCCATTATTCAATGGCCAAAAATGACCATAGGCCGGCCAAATATTGTCCTTAAAATCCTTCATTCGGTCAGAATTTCAATAAACTTTTATATTAGAACCCTAATTAGGGTTGAATAAGACAAAAAGACATAGAAATAATGCATTTTATAGTCGTACCCAAACTTTTACATGGCACTGTATAGGCAAGTTCGACTTTCAGTAGGGTGCTTTCGTTACCATGCCCCAAATCGAGGTCGGAATATTAGAATATCGCACCCCCAAACCTTTCGATGCGTTCCGGCCAAAATTTTGGGCACAAGGGGTGATTTTTTGAAGGGAAGTGTTCAAGTTGTTTGTGAAAGTTGTTTTTCACGAGGAATCCAAAAATGTAATTTTCTTGAGGGGTTAAGAGGGGTTTGTACCAGAGAATCATTTCAGCATAGATATTCAATTTTCTGATGAGATCTCAGTAACTGAATGCAGTGACTGCGAACTTCGCTGTGAGTGAACAAGCGCTCTACATTCAAGCGCGGACATTCATATACATTGGTTTACTCGTAATCGGAGTGAATGTGCGTGCGAAAGAAGAGAAGAGAGGAGAGACGAACGAAATGTGTTGCATCGAGCGATGTCCACTTGACACAGTGTCAGTGTGGCGAATACTTATTCTTTGTTTCTTGGAATTGTTGTTCCTTCTTCTTTTTCTTCTAATAAATTGGTTGGCAGCACAAACACAAGCAAAAAAATCACATTCAAAAAATAAACAAAACAATATTTAATTATTTTGTTGTTGTGTTTAGTTATAGAATTTTATTTCTTTTTTACTTGAGTTTGTGCTGCCAACCAATTTGTTAGAAGAAAAAGAAGAAGGAACAACAATTCCAAGAAACAAAGAGTAAGTGTTCGCCACACTGACACTGTATCAAGAGACGTTCACTCTCATCGTTCAATGCGACATATTTCGTTCGTCTCTTCTCTCTTCTCTCCTTTCGCACGCACACTCACTCCGATTGTGTGTAAACCAATGTATATGCATGTCCGCGCTTGAATGTAGAACGCTCGTTCACTCACAGTGACGTTCGTAGTCACTGCATTCAGTTACTGAGATCTCATCAGAAAATTGAATATCTATGCTGAAATGATTCTCTGGTTTGGACCCTGTTTTTTCGGTTTTACCCCCTATCTAAGATTTGAAAATGAAGACCCCATCGAGCGATTTTAGACATTTTTACACTAGATAGAATCGAATTTGAAAAGTGAGGACCTTTTTTTTAGGTCTTCAGTGTTTTTCGACACCGATTTAATAAGTGTCATCGGCTACTAGTTTACATATTCCATATTTTGGTGTGCAGTAAAACCTCACAATGGTGGATTCGCTCCGGCAGAATATTGATCGAAACAGTACATTTTTTTACGTAACAAGTAAATGGCAAAAATATTACAAGAGAATCGAATTTGAAATAACCTGTGTGAAAAGCATTAAAAAATATGGACGAAGATGTATTTTTGACCAAGATACTGTTTGCATACAACGGCAGATTCCATATTTTATTTTTGTAAGTGTGATTCAGTGATTTTGTAAGTGTGATTGTGAGATTTTACCGTATCTCCAATGGTAGAGACTTCTATGTATGATGCTAATTTATGAAAAGTTGCATCGTTTTTAACGAGACGAGAATTTATTATTGTTGTAATCGTTCTTGCACTCTTTTCCGGCCAAACTACCATATTTAGCCATCACTTGGCGGTATAAATAAGTAAATAATAATAATAATAATAATAATAATAATAATAAGTAATTGAATGTATTATAGAGTCACATCAAACCACCGCCTGTACCTCTTCCAACCGAAATCAATGAATACATTATTCCACCAATTGATTTGCCTGACCTTTGGAAATATGCAATCAATGAAAGAGGCCAAATTTACTACTACCATACAAAAATATTATTACCACAATGGGAGCCACCAATCAAGCTCTTACCGCTAATGGAAGAGCATCGTATCAATGATATTGAGATTAAGGTTGAAAATATAGATACACCACAGCATACGGCGACGGATGATGGTCATGAGATAGAACATATGGAACACGATTGTGACGACGAAGACGAAGATGTTGTGTCCATTTTATCAAGCTCTACAATGAATCCGAACTGTTTGCTCGAATTGAAGTCAGACCCTATTTTGGAAAAATACAATGATGACGATTCCAGTTCGACCGATTCTGATGATAGTCTAGTTATTGAGCTTGCCGAATTGGAGGCCAAATATTCCTATATCCGAAAGAAAACTGAGGCGTACTGGAGTAAGTTTGATAAATTATACAGATGGACGAAATATTTGAACAAATCAGTAAATTTTATTATTTATATTGTTACAGTAAATATGAAACGACCGCCGAATTTGAATGAAGAAATTGCTGCGATGGCTAAATCGGATCCAGCGTGCATATCAATAATATCTACTGAAAATATTCGAGCTAGAGATGAAGAAAATCAAAATATTTGTGTTGCTAAAAGCAATACTGGTGAAGAGCAGTGTAGGAAAAAAAAATGTCGCATGCAATTGGTCCAGGAAATTCGAATTAGCGTACGTTGTTTGATACATTACACTACATAAGAAAGGAATTTCATATTGATAATTTGAGCCTTTTTAACAAAAATATTGTAAAGGAACTATATTCTGGCTCATACAAAATTATAGCCTTTGGTACACAATACTGCTGCAAATTTAAAACTTTCGTTTAAACTGCTGCAATTGTTGGGCGTGTTTCGATGCCCAGTTGAATAAGGAACTTGGAAATAGTTGTGCGAAAAAGCGGAGCATGTGCTGGTTCCTGCATATAAACCAGTGTAATTCCATCGGCGTTTAAAATTTCTTCGATTCTGATACAGTATTTGGTGAGCTCAGTCGTTTGGTGTTATCGCCACATCGAAATTCGCATTCCTTATCAGTTTGTTATCACTGGGGAGCCATTGTTTAAATAAAGGAGAAACATGTTGACTGATAAAATAATAGAGAAATAGAAGGCGTTTAAAATAAAAATGAATCATGCACAAAGTGGAAATAAAAGTGAACACAGCTATTTTCACTTTGAACATGTTGCATTTTTATTTTAAACGCGTTCTACGTTTCTCTATTATTTCAAACCAACGGTTACGGTTTTATTTTATGAAAAGTTCGGGGGATCAAGATTATTCCTACCGATTTATTCGTACATTTTTGACATGTAGAAAATGTGTTCATGGTGGCTTCAGTTCAACCCATCCATTCCACGATAGAAACCGCCGAAGAAACTTGCATCAATGACGAGGACAAAATACGTTTACATTTCTGCATCAGAGTGCAATTCTGTTAAGCTGAAAAAACAGAGATCTCATTTTGTATACGGCTATATTTTTATGCGATAGCTGTGGATATTTTTCAATAGGATCTTTTAAATGAATTGGAAACATCTATTTAAACAGTATTGCATATGTTAATAGAATTTGTGATTAGAAATCAGGGAGTGTAACTGCGAGGAGGAGGAATGGTCAGGAGGCGAATGGGGAGGGAAGGGCTGAGGAGATTCCTCTGTTCAAAATAAATTGGTATGCCTAAAATTTGATAAGTTTCTTTGTCTGCTCATGTAAGGAGGAGGAATCTCCTCAGCTTCTCCTCCTCATTTCGCCTCCTCACCATTCCTCTTCCTCGGAGTTACACTCCCTGTTAGAAATCTTTATTTCATTTCGTTATTTTTTTGATAAAAATTCCGAATTATCAATTTGAAATCTCCTCCGTTTAGCAGTATATATATTTAATTTTATTTAATTTGATTTAAATAGCCTCTTTCGGAAGAAATGAAACGCGAGCTACGGCGAGACTCACGCCGATACAAAGAAAATAAGGCAAAATTGCGGCGACAGAAAGAGATGTTATTAAAACGGAAAAGCGATATGAAGGTTTCACATACAGGCGTGCCCGTCCGGAAGCTCAAAAAGATTACAGAAGGTCTACCTCAAGTCTCGAAGCATGCTGTGGATAGCGATAGCCATGGTTCAAATGACAATCATTTATTTTCTGTTGGGTCGTTTTCATCGTCGCGCTACCATAATAGCGACTCATTCGATGTAAGGCGCACAAAATCATCTGCATTTGCCCCACTACCAGCTGTGGGTCTATCTGCATCATCTTCAAGCTCTTTGACCACATCCCATAATACAATCGACATACCATCACGAACATCGCAATCTTCACGCAATGGCCTGCCATCAACATCGTTGACACAAAGTATTGTGAATAAATTGCCAAGTATTGGACATAAATTTGTCGGTGATACAGAAGAACTGATTATGAAAAATACAATAAGGCCGATTAGGCCTGCTGAATCGGTTAGTGCTTCAGCTGTAGCCCCCATTGTTAACACAATCAGAAACACACCCATCCAGCAGACACAACAATCACTAGTCAGAAAACCATCACACTCAATTGTCAGCACATCGAAGTCGTAAGTCTTGATTCACCCATTTTAATTCATTGAAGAGAAAGGCATTACAATCGTTCGAAAAACTTTTGTTTCTTCAATTGAATATTCCACCAGTGTAAACGTGCTTCGACGAATAAAAATGCCTTTCTAACTGGTTGATTGGTCGCTCAACATCTGCTTTATATTTATTTATAGTTCTCCGAAACCCTTCAAAAAGAAGAAAACATCGGATCCAAACGAATGCATTGATGTTAATAGTCCAGCAGCTAAAAAAATCAAAGAAAAATTTAAATCGGATATATCAGGACATATAGTTTACTATCTCAAACCATACTTCAGCAAAACCTGTACTGTCGGACAAATTCAAAGCAGTGATGATTTTCGTCATTTGGCACGAAAGGTAGTTTCCATATATGAAATATATTGCTTTTTAAACGGATTGACATGTCTATTCCATTTTCTCGCTTTGCAGCTCACCTTCTTCGTTATGCTAAAAGAGTTGAAGTACTGTAATAATGTGAGCTTACTGGAGGTCACTGACTCAGTGAAAAATAAAGCCCGCGAATATATAAAAAAATATATGTCAAAATTTGGAAAATCCTACGTTCGAGATGAAAATGAAAAGGACTATCATTTCGAAGATTTGTAGATAGAATAAACTGGAGGACAATAAAAATGGAGGAAGTTTCTCCAAAGAACATTTAAAGTGAAAAAACAATGAAACAGACAAGATATTACCGATACTAAATTATTGTTTTCAAAGTATTTTAACGTAAATCCTTATTTCCCTTTGAATTTATATATTTTATTTGATTCAGATTTTATTTCGGGATACTAGGCCAATAAATTTGAACATTGAATATGTATAACTGTATATTATAATTACGAAATGTCGAAATGAATAAAACGCTATAATTTTTATCCCTCTGAATACGACTTGTTTGGAAAAGGACGGAAATTAATTATTCAATCGTCATTCGATCGGCAGTACGTTCATTGCACTGGGAATTTGTTTGTTCTAGTGCCTTCACCGTATCAAGGCTTGAAACCTAGGGCGTTAAACGAATAGATGAATAAAAAACATGACGAAAACTAAAATTCACCCAATGTTTTCACCCAATGGTTTACATACATATGAACTCAACCGAGTATTATTTGAAGTCTGTTTTTAGCTGTCAAATGTAAGTATGTTGAAATGTCAAAATTAACCATTTTGATACGGATCTGTCAAACACTAATGTATGTGACAAGTGTGCTTCAAATACGTTTCAGGAGAAATAACAGAGATATTACTTTAGTTTTTGTATCATAAATATTTATTTTAAAACAAAATACCGAATAAAATAAATGAAAATGGCAGGCAATCAAGATTTGCAAGAAGATTTTTCACAAGATGTTAAAGACGAAGAAAACAGCAACGATGAGAATGAAAATGACGGCAGAAAGGGGAATGTTGAAGAAAATCAGTGCCAACCATCGACTTCGTGACACAATAACGTCGGGTTAGTTGGAATTTTCTTATTCATTTCATCTTTTTTCAACAGAAAAAAAAAATGGAAAGTTCAATCTCAATATTTTTCACATTTTCATTTGTTGCTTTTAGATGGCAAATTGCATTGGATGCTAATGGAAGTCCAAAGATTATTCTTCATATGGTTGAAATCAACATCCATTCGACAAATGTCACAGCTAGAGATGTAGTTCTTCAACTAAAGAAAGATGGATATGGGGTAAATAAAGAGGTTTTTGATTGAATTGTTTTCATTCAATTTGATTATTTCATTTCTTCTAAATCGTTTTTACATTAGGTAGAAGTATATCAGGCTAAATTGGATGACTCCGGCACATGGAAGCAGATATTGCATTTTAGTGATTTACAAGAAACGGGAAAATTCTGTAAAATTTTAAGCCCAGAGATCTCACTCCAGCAGGTTCATCGGAATCAACCAGTTATGATATCTCGACTGCTTCCACGGAATCAACTTCTAAAGACAGGTACAATACTAAGAAGAAAAAAAAACGCCATTGTTAATTTCTTGTCTTAAAAAAATGCCCACAAAGCCCATTAGATTTATTCAAAGCAAGCAAAGGATTTGATTTTTCGTGGAATTTGTTTGATGGTTTTTATTCTTATTTCTACACTCTTTTTCTTTTTTCCAAATTTAATTCCCATTTTTGGTTTATTTTCATTTTCTTAGCGGCCAAGTAGAAGATTGAATTTGGTTTTTTTTATTTTTGCGCCGCTGTTTACCCATTAAAAACTGAGGTTCAAAAATATGTCTCAAAATACTCAAAAGTCTATCTAGCATAAATTCCACCAAGAAACTCGAAAAAAAACTGTCATTTTGTTTATAGTTTTTCCGGAAAATCAAATTTTCGGGGCTCCCAAACCGATCAATAAAAAAACCATCATGCTTTTTGTAAAAAAATTTCAACTAGAAGTCTATTTAGAGTTATTTTGAAATGAAAAAATAAAAAAATGTCAGATGGAAAATTCGTATTGTAGTTTTTTTTATATTGCACCGTCTTTTTAGCTGCAATATGTGCCTCCGATTGTGTTTCAGCGATACGTTCCAAAATGATTGTGGCAGTTTGTGGCTTGATATATCGCTGAGCGGTTGATCGAGTGGTGCGACCACTAACTACCATTGCAATTTGTTCCAATGGATTTTGTGTATTTGGCCTCGGTAGGTCATATGTCTATTTTCAGCGTTTTTATGGGTAAAATGGTCGGATATGGCCTCCAATCGAATATTAAAACCAATCGGAATAAATGTTCCGAGATTCCGATTTCTCGGTATTCTTCAATGTAAATTACTTATTAAAAAAATTTGGTTAGAAAATTCTCCGAAAAGCGCTACTGTGGAAAATCGGGAAATCGGAAAAAAATTCAGACCACTCTCAATCGATTGGGCGGGAAATTTCATGTGAGGTGGCGACCCGAAGGGCGAAAAAACATTTAATACGATTTATCATTCTGATTGGTTTTAATACCGATCAATCGGAATCATTGTTCCGCTAAATTTTCTCGGAGTAACGTAAAAGTATCGAATTACGCGAATTTAAGGTACCTGCCCTACAAAATGACCGTTTTACAGACCAATTTCTATATAAAACGCTGAATTGAGCCAAAAATGGTAAGCAAATTGGTATATTTTTATTTGTTTCGCTGAAAAATAAAAGCCATTCACGACATCTTTGAAGCAAAAAAAGTGTTTGTATTGCGAGTTGAAACCTTCCTCTCAAGCAGAACCATTTTCGACCTTTTGGACCCATCAGACAGGATTGAGATAAGTCTCAATCGATTCCCCGTCCAAAAATATGTGGAAATAGAATCATGACAGCCTATTATAGGTGGAGTTTCTATGCCATAAGTGTGATTTTGTATGCAGATACCGACCATTCGCTTGTTCTATGAAGAAATGTCGATTTCAGACCAAATTTACCGATGTGCATATTTTCATGTATTTTGGCAACAAAAAAAAAATAGCAGTTTTCTCAGACAAAAACTTCGTAGGATGTTCGCCATGTTCAACCATTTTACCCACAATGGGGTTTCAGACATTCAGCCCTCTAGCACCCACCAAATGTGATTTTTTGGGTCGAATTTGTTGGTAAAATTTGTTTATAGGATCCTTAAAAGACTGCGTCAAAAAAAAGTTGTCCCTCATCTGGAAAGTCCGGCCAGTTTCGAAAAATATACCTAAAAAAAATAGGTTTGGCGCAAAGAACATATATGAGCACCATAGAAATTGGTGAAGCAAGCCCCATACCAAAATTTTCATGACAGAGTTTTCGGAAGCCAATTCATATCGCAACATTTCGACTTAAATCATTTTTTCAGACAATTTTCGGCAAAAACTGATGATAGGGTTTTGTCTGGCTCGTCAATATCTACAACTTTTACCAGACATCAGCCCTTGAAAAGGCATTCTGGGCCAGTTACAGTGTGAAATGACCAAAAAAATGATAATTTTCGGCATTTTTTACATTTTCTGCTCTACTGGTCACAACTTCACGTTGGTTGTCACTTGGTTACTACTGCAACGCATTGACGTATGCTTGTGTTCGAAAAAAAAACCAATTAAAATGAACTAAAACCAAATGAAAATTTATTCCAAATAATTTGAGAGATATATTTTTTAATGAAGTATAATTTCTACTTAGATTCAACCAAGTTTTAGAGAAATCATAGTCTTTGTTTTGCTGCAACAAGACTTTGTTGTTTAGTCAGAATGAAAGTAGATATAATTGTGAACAATCCATTCAAAGTCTTATTGCAGCGAAACCAACTCTATGATTTTTTTTAAATTTTGCCAAATATAAGTAGAAAAGGTACTCTTTCAGGAAATATTTTTTCTAATTTTTTTTGAATCTACTTTTCATTTGGTTTTATTTGACTTTAATCTGGTTATCTTTCAATCAGAAGCATACGTCAATCACAACGCAAAGTGGCACAAGCTTGTACCATTTTTCGCATACACACGCGTATGAACGCAACGATTGTATGCAGAAAATGGGACATGCTTGTGCCACTTTGCGTTACGACTGACTGTAGTTGGCCGGGCAACCGCTTTGGCTGGCGCTGTCAACAATGTTGCCCCATTCATTCACACTTTGACTGGTCATCTAGGCGGTAGACTTTTATTCAGTTTTTGAACTGTGTCGTATAGCCAGAACCTGTACAAATATTTTTTTACTTGTCCGATTGCGATTTGGATGGAGTTTGGCGACAATTGATTCAGACATAAAAGACAAATTTCAGGCCAAAATGAGCAAATCACCACTACGAGCTTCGATTTGACAAATAAAAGCAAGCGATTTCTACCTGTTCTGCATTTGAACTTCTAGTATAATCCCTTACGAACATTTTAAGTACTAACTTGACTAAATCGAGTGATGTTTTTACATATTTCTGGCCTCATATTCGATTTTGACTCCCAAAAAATCGACTTTTGACCAAAAAATCCTTAAGTATAGGCTTTTTAGGGATGGTGTCTTGGAGTAATGTTATTTTTTCTGGAGAATATGGGGAGTCTTCCCAGATAAAAACTGTTAAAAGTGGCAATTTAAGGTACCTACCGAACAAAAGTTACGTTCTTTATGCATTTTGCTATGGAAATATCAATTTTTGTTCGGGAGGTACCTCAAAAATACACTTTTTGGATGAGTTTCTTAGTGAAAAGTTATTTTTTTCGAGAAATATTTGGAAAAAATGATATTTTCATAGCAAAATGCATAAAAAACGTAACTTTTATTCGGGAGGTACCTTAAATAGCCACTTTTAACAGTTTTTATCTGGGCAGACTCCCCATATTTTCGAGAAAAAATAACTTTCCGTCAAGACACTATCCCTGAAAAGCCTATATTTAGAGATTTTTTTGGACGAAAAACGATTTTTTTAGAGTTGAAATTGAATATGAGGCCAGAAATATGTGAAAACATCACTAGATTTGGTCGTGTTAGTACTTAAAATGTTCGTAAGGGATCATACTAGATGTTCAAAGGCAGAACAGGTAGAAATCGCTTGCTTTTATTTGTCAAATCGAAGCTCGTAGTCGTGATTTGCTCATTTTGGCCAGAAATTTGTCATTTATGTCTGAATCAATTGACACCAAATTTCATCCAAATTGCAATCTGTCAAGTACCAAAATTTTTGTACAAGTTTTGACTACATGACACAAGTCGAAAACCGAACCAAAGTCTACCACCTGGGTGACCAGTAGAGCGAAAAATGTAAAAAATGCCGAAAAATTGTCATTTTTTTGGTCATTTCACACTGTAACTGGCCCAGAATGCCTTTTCAAGGGCTGATGTCTGGTAAAAGTTGTAGATATTGACGAGTCAGACAAAACCCTATCATCAGTTTTGGCCGAAAATTGGCTGAAAAAATGATTTGGGTCGAAATGTTGCGATATGAATTGGCTTCCG